GCCAATGCTTTAATATCTAATATATAACTCAATATAATTCAAATTAGACTGTTAACAAAAATATTTATAGCATATAAGTAAAGATATTTCCAGACTCAAACTACGTTATTTAAATTATTGTTCCAAAATCAAACTAAGTAAAGTTATGATATTTCAAGTATTCTTCAAGACTCAAACTAAGTTAAGACGCCAAGACGTTTCAAGTATTATTCCAGACTCAAACTATGTTATGATATTTCAATTATTGTTTCAGACTCAAACTAAGTTAAGATATTTCAAGTATTGTCCCAGACTCAAACTAAGATATATAAATTATTGTTCAAAAATAAAACTAAGTAAACTTATGATATTTCAAGTATTCTCTAAGACTCAAACTAAGTTAAGATGTTTTAAGTATTCTTCAAAACTCAAATCAAGTTAAGATATTTCAAATGTTGTTTCAGACTCAAACTAGGGTAAGATATTTCAAGTATTGTTCCAGACGCAAACAAAGTTTAGCTGTTTCAAGTATTGCCCCAGACTCAAACTAAGATATTTGAATTATTGTTCCAGACTCAAACTATGTTAAAAAATTTCAAGTATTCTTCTAGACTCAAACTAAGTTAAGATGTTTCAAGTATTCTTCAAGACCCAAACTAAGTTAAGATATTTCAAGTATGGTTCCAGACTCAAACTAAGATATTCAAATTATTGTTCAAAACTCAACTTAGTAAAGTTATGATATTTCAAGTATTATACAAGACTCAAACTAAGTTAACATGTTTCAAGTATTCTTCAAGACTCAGACTCAGTTAAGATATTTCTAGTGTTGTTCTAGACTCAAACTAAGTTTAGATATTTCAATTATTATTCCAGACTCAAACTGAGTTTAAGATATTTCAAGTGTTGTTTCAGGCTCAAAATAAGTTAAGATATTTCAATTATTATTCAAGACTTAAACTAAGTTAAGACTCAAATTAAGTATAGATATTTCAAGTGTTGTTCCAGATACATGCTAAGTTAAGAAATTTCAAATGTTGTTCCAGACTCAAACTTAGTTAAGATTTTTCAAATATTGTTAAAGACTCAAGTTTAGTTAAGATAATTCATGTTTTGTCCCAGACTCAAACTCAGTCAAGATATTTCAAGTATTGTTCCAAACTCAACCTCAGTTAAGATGTTTCAAGCATTGCTCCAGACACAAGCTAAGTTAAGAAATTTCAAGTGTGGTCCAAGACTCAAACTCAGTTAAGATGTTTCAAGTATTTTTCAAGACTCAAACTACGTTATGATATTTCAAGTATTGTTCCAGACTCAAACTAAGTAAATATGTTTTATGTATTGTGCCAGACTCAAACTAAGTTAAAATATTTCATGTATTGTTCCACACTCAAACTCAGTAAAGATATTTCAAGTATTGTCCCAGACTCAAACTAAGTTAAGATGTTTCAAGTATTCTTCAAGACTCAAACTTAGTTAAGATATTTCAAGTGGTGTCCCAGACTCAAACTCAGTTTAGATATTATAATTATTATTCCAGACTTAAACTAAGTTAAGACTCAAATTAAGTAAAGATATTTCAAGTGTTGTTCCAGACACAAGCTTAGTTAAGAAATTTAAAGTGTTGTCCCAGACTCAAACTCAGTTAAGATGTTTCAATTGGTGTTCCAGGCTCAAACTAAGTAAAGATATTTCAAGTATTGTTCAAGACTCAAACTAAGTTAAGATATTTAAAGTGTTGTTCCAGACTCAAACTAAGTAAAGATATTTCAAGTATTGTTCAAGACTCAAACTAAGTTAAGATATTTCAAGTATTGTTCAAGACTCAAACTAAGTAAAGATATTTCAAGTATTGTTCAAGACTTAAACTAAGTTAAGATATTTCAAGTGTGTTGTTCCAGACTCAAAGTTAAAATATTTCAAATATTTAGACTTAAACTAAGTCAAGATATTTCAAGTATTGTTCCAGACTCAAACTAAGTTTAGATATTCCAAGTATTGTTCCAGACTCAAACTAAGTTAAGATATTTCAAGTATTGTTCAAAACTGAAACCTTGTAAGGATATTTTAATTATTGTTCAAGACACAATTAAGTTAAGACATTTCAATTATTCTTCATAACTCAACTTATGTTAAGATATTTTAAGTTTTGTTCCAGGCTCAAACAAAGTTAAAATATTTCAAGTGATTTTCTAGACACAAGTTAAATTATTTCAAGTAGTGGTCTTCATTAAAACTAAGTTTTTTTTCCCCATTTATGTATGTTTCGATAGTAAAGCTGTTCCCTAAACACAAATTAATTTAATTTTTTCCCCAAATATTAACAAATATAATAATGTTTCAAACTATGAAAGGACATCGTTAGAATTATTTAGAATATTAAGTATGTTGAGATATTTTGAATATTGTCCAGAAGTTAAATCGATTTTTTAAATCTGTTTAAAAAAATATTTACAAATGCAAAGAAGTTTCCAAGATACAAGATAGATTTGAAATGACAAATATTGTTCTTTAAAATATTCCAGATATATATAAACTAGTATACAAAATTTTAATGGTTTACCCTATGTTTACCCTTGACACAAATTATAACCAACTAATTTAAATAATACTTAAAAAAATCTTGATTCTATAAGTAGAGATACAAGGTCTATAGTATTTTCATATTTTTATATGTACTAAGTGAAAAGATTCTAATCAAAGCATTAATCAATGAATTTCCCCAAAAAAATTGGTTAAAATTTTTTCAAGTTTGATATACTTTTTAAAAAAAGGAATTTACCCAAAATTTATGATATACTGTTTTTTCCTTTTAAAATTTTGTTATTTTAAAATTTTAATATTGCAAAGAATTTTGAAAAAGCACTTAAAACCAAAAGGTGGGAACCACTTTTCCCCTTTAATAAAAAAAAGGTCGGTTTTAAACCCCCCCTTTAAATTTTGAAATACGCCAATGCCCAAAAGGACTTTTTCTCCCAAATTCCCTTTTTGCGGCAAAATTTTCCTACTTTGTTTTAAATATTTTTTTAGTAGCATTTTTTAAAGTAAATTTTTCCCCAAAATTTTAAATGTTTTAAAATTTCCCGGGAAGTTTGGTTTTTTGGAATTAATCAGTAAAAAAAAAATTAAGAGGAAAGGGTTGTAACTAACGGGGGAAAAATCCTTTTTTATCATTTTATACTTGTTAGTCTCCTTTAGTTTTTTTTTATCATTTGAATTTTTAGGGGAGATCAATCCGTATTTTAAAACAAGTAGCCTTCCGTTTCGCTTGATGTAATTTGCAAAACAATAAATAAATAAATGTAAATAAATAAATAAATTAATATAAAAAATAAAATAAATCATAACTAAATTAATCCATAAATAAAGATAAGTAAATAAATAAATAAAATTTTTTTTACAAAAAATAAATTAAAAATTAAAACAGGCAAGTAAAGTTAAAAAATTGGTAGAATAACGTATCAAAAGCGAACGAAAAAAGCTAAATGATGCTAGCCCCCACCCCCTTTTATAGCTTTTTGTCAGATCATATAACAAGAGCTGTCGGTAGGACAGCAACGCTCGACTATTCTAGTGCTTGATAGTAAAAAATAATGCTTGATGCAGTTACCTACTCCTGTCTACAGGTTGGGGTCATGATGGTGAACAAGTGTGCAAAGTTTCAAAGCCATATGTCAATGGACTTTGAAAATATTTGAACTATAACAAAAACTTTAACGTAAATTCTAAGTCGAAAAAGGGGCATAATTCTGTTAAAATGCTCGATACAGTTACCTACTCCTGTCTACAGGTTGGGGTCATGATGGTAAACAAGTGTGCAAAGTTTCAAAGCCATATGTCAATGGACTTTGAAAATATTTGAACTATTACAAAAACTTTAATGTAAATTCTAAGTCGAAAAAGGGGCATAATTCTGTTAAAATGCTTGATAGAGTTACCTCCTCCTGTCTACAGGTTGGTGTCATGATGGTAAACAAGTGTGCAAAGTTTCAAAGCCATATGTCAATGGACTTTGAAAATATTTGAACTATTACAAAAACTTTAACGTAAATTCTAAGTCGAAAAAGGGGCATAATTCTGTCAAAATGCTTGATACAGTTACCTCCTCCTGTCTACAGGTTGGGGTCATGATGGTGAACAAGTGTGCAAAGTTTCAAAGCCATATGTCAATGGACTTTGAAAATATTTGAGGTATTACAAAAACTTTAACATAAATTCTAAGTTGAAAAAGGGGCATAATTCTGTCAAAATGCTTGATAGAGTTACCTCCTCCTGTCTACAGGTTGGGGTCATGATGGTGAACAAGTGTGCAAAGTTTCAAAGCCATATGTCAATGGACTTTGAAAATATTTGAACTATTACAAAAACTTTAACATAAGTGGTTACGCCGACGCCGACGCTCGGGTGACTACAATAGCTCTACTTATTCTTATCGAATAGTCGAGCTAAAAATTGAAAACAAAAACAACAATAATAAAAAAACAAAAAAAAAACGCATGCATCGTCAGATCCCCACGGTTAATTAACATGTTATCAAGATAAATGTTAATGGTTAGGCATTGGGTATCAGTGGCTATCCGGCGATTAAACTGCTTTGAAATGAAAATGATAAAGAAACCCTTTGTGACTCCTTATTTAAAGCAGTTAAAAGGCAAAAAAAAATGAAACAAATGATACTTCAAATTATAAAGGAACACATTATATCATGTATAATTATGGTTGATAATATTATCAGAAGCGGACTTGTCCAGCCTCCGTTTCTGAATACGTTCATTCTCAATTTAAGAGTCTAACTTGAATAAAATCAAATTTGAAATTGGTCGGTTTAGAGCCTGGTCAATCTGGCCTGGCTGCATACTGGTGGCAAAAGCTGGTCACTTAAGGTCAAGCATGTTATAGGTAAACAACTACATGGTAACTTGTGACAATATTATTCTTTCATTCCATTTTGTGTTACTTTATTTCAATTTGTTTTTATTTTCATTTATTTTATTTTATTGTTTTTATTTTATCTTATTTCATTTTTTTTCATTTTATTTCATTACTGTTTATTTCATTTCATTTTGTTGTTTTATTTTATTTCATTCATATTGTTATTTCATTCTTTTATTTCATTATTGTTCTTCTGGTCGTTATTACAGTTATTTTAATATTTTATTTCATTTTTTCATCATTGCATGTTTTTGCATGATGAACTACATGTATTTCATTGTTGGTGTTTTCATTATGTGTCATAAATGTTGTTTTTGGTGGTAGTGGTGATATTCTTGGTGTTATTATCTAAATCTTAAGAAATTTCAAATGGATGTTTCTATCATGACGTTGTTAAATTATCATTATTTCTCATTGTACGGCCTAGTATGTCTTTATGTTACTTATTACACTTCTTGAAATATACATTGTAAAAAATGTCATCATTCATTTCTGAAAATTGCTATTATGTTAACTGTACAGTATGTTTGCATATATATAGTCTTAATAAATGTACATTCCTGATCAAATTTTACTTATTACACCACTTGAAATATTCATTGCAAAAAAAGTGCATTATTCATTATTTCAGTTATACTCATTATTGCCATTACAACACATTAACGGTACAGTGTGTTGGTACAATGTAAAAAGCAAATTAAATATCCCTTCTATTCTGTTTACATCACGGCATTAATAAAGGTGTTCTTTTTTCAAGCTCATGTAGAAAATCCAATCGAGCTAACACCCTTTATGGTTTTTATTACTACGGCAAAAACTCATTGCTTCATAACTGCCATAAATATTAGACAGTTACATGGTAATATATTGATAATTTCTTAAACTTGGCAGAAAAAAACACCATTCAAAAGTTGAACATGACACTTTCAGAAAGATACCACATCGTATCAGGTGGATTGAAATGTTTTTGTCACATATGTTGTAACGGCATGCAGTAGTTCCAAACCGTAAAAATTGTTATTTTGCTGACTGTAAAGAGGGTGGTGTTTTCTTCATTCCTTCACCTGCTCAATTTACCATGTTCCGTATTTCTGAAATGTAAAGATCACTGATACACCTGCATTGTAAAAATTATATTCAACTTAGAACCATCTGTTTTTCCTTAAACGCACATTATGCCTCAGAAATTATTTTTCACTACATTAGGCAGTGCAAACATGAGTATTATAACGTTCAAATAATGCTTTAAAGCATGTTAGATGCTTATTAGCAAAAGAAAGTATGGCTGAATATGAAAATATTTGTTTTTAACATTATGCAATTTGCACTAATATTTAAATAGACACATTCTCGGCACATATTGTCTCGAATTTATTTTAAGTATACCAATCATTTCAATTTTACTAGTTATCCAATTTATTTTGCTTTGACCAGACGTTTCAATCTTTGTCGCAACAGACAAACATTTCAGACATGGCATTACTTTGTGAATTTATGCAAAAGTTCTACTTTTTCACAAAAATATGCAACTTGTTTGTTTGTTTGTTTCATTTTACGCCTTTTCCCAACAGTATTTCAGTCATATAGGCGGGTAGTTTCCTAACCATCGTTCCTGGAGAGTTACACCAGTACTAAACTACCTTCCTCCGCGCTAAACTACCAAAGCATCTCCCGGGGATCGAACCCACGCCAGAGAGGTAACTGGATTAGAAGTCATCGACTCTAACCCCTCGACCACGGAGGCGGTCCAATATATGCAACTTAATTATTAAACAAAGAGCACATTCCAAGAGCATGGAGAAAAATATTATTTGTGCTTCGGATATTCAACTGTAATAGAGAACGAGTTTCAATGCTGATTGACTGTTCACATCATTCGGCGGCGTCTATGATGTGCAGCATCAACATTTAACTTGTATAAAATATTCACATCACTTGTAACGCTTTGTGTTTCACTTGCAAAAGACAGCAGACGCATGCGTTGTACCACCAAATTTAAAAAAAGAATGTTATTATTACTCTTATTAAAATATGCACATAATAGAATTCAGGAATACAACAAACAAATAATTACGTCTTACTCAAATAGTGGTCATAAAGCTTTTATTCACTTGATGTCATTAAACGATTCTCTTATTATTTCTAGTATATTCTTAACTGCAATGGTTCAATTATTCTGGTTGGGTTTAACCCTTTACCTATTGGTCCCCAGGCTATATATTATCGTCTGCTCAAATTTGTATTTTGTTATTGAAATGGACTGTTCCAAATTCAATGCAGGGCAGCTCCATTACCCTAATTTAGTAGGTGAATGGTTACTGTCTCGACGGTACTTTTTTCAGCTTTTTACTGGCAGAAGAAGGTCCAAAATAGCCCTCTATAAATTATTTTAGACACGGTGGGGCACTCGAGTAGAACCACCAATTTTCTCTGCCAATTAAGCTAGCTGTGGATCACCTCTGTGGATCATCTCTGCACATGAAACTATTCATGAATTCAAAGTCGCTCCCCATAATAGTGGAAGAAAGGGGTGTGAAAATAATTTGAAGTCAATGAATTCATTCAACCACTCATTAATGGACGCCCTTTATTATAACTAAAACTTACAAAAGTTTTTATCAAATTTGAATAATGAAGAAAAATGTTTGATACCAGTGTAGGTGTTCGCCAAAGCAATTCATGACTGAATAAGCATATATCTGTGATAAGCAAAGAAAAATATAAACCCGAACATGAAACAATTTTCATAATGCGTACTGTTTCAGGACCAAATGAATACATGTCTCATTCAAGAGCTATAAACAAGCCTTAAAGTTGCATGCCTCCAGATGAACCAAAAATATTTCAAGAAAAACAAACTTAACAAACATGTACTCAGACTTAAGAGAAGTAAAAAGATTTAAGATTCAAGTAATAATTTCTGTGCTAAATGTCTTTAACGACCGAAGTCGCAGTACTTATTACCATATTTCTACTGCCTGACTAACGCAGTAATGGCAATTATTGTATATTTGGCCTTTTTTTTTGGTAATGTAAGTAGACTGTATGCGTAAATTACTTTCCTTGTTCGCTACACTATATTTTTCTTTTAGATACATTCTCAAAATTTACATGAAGAATGAGCATGAATCTGGAGGCATGCTGCTTTAACTTGCGAAAATTTTTAAATGGACTTCTCCACATTTTATTTAAGGAACAGTCCATTATAAATTATTATAACTAATTATCACATGAAAATGAAAATTGGAAGTAAGCAAACAGTAAAGAGGCTGGTTAAACTGCTCAAAAGTGCAGGCTGGCCTGGCTCTATTCTGGAGGCAAAGACTAATGACTTTCGCTTTCAGAAGGCTAAGAAACAAATCTATACATATATTCATAAAACCTACTATTACCTCATCTTAATCAGTAGGTTCCAGTTCTGTGATAAGGATGTAACATGCCAAGATCAGTTTGCCAGTGCTCATTTCATATATTTCGTTCTTTCCTAATTTCAAATCTTGAAACTGAAATATAGGTTAAAAAAATATATCTATTTATAGACTGAAAATTAAGATGTTATCGGAGTGCCACAATCAGTCACCAGTTCATTACAAAATACACATTATGCATTTGAAATAATTATATATACATGTAATTATATTTTAAATTATAATAAGAGATATTTTTTATCTCCCTTATTTGTAATACATTCATAATTAGCTCCCTTCCTTCAGCACAATCACTAATGTAGTGCCGATATTTTTACCTATTCGTGAATTAAGTTATTGAATGTATATTTTTTGTGTTTAGATTGTAATGCTTTAAGGAAGCGACTGATCTCTGAAAGAATAGTTCTTTATATTATGTTCAGTTCATTTTTTTTCTAGAAAAGCAACAATAATTACAAAAAGTCATCTTCCATCTGAAATTAACATTTCAAAATACAAACATTGTACCAAATTAAAAGTTGTCATTATTTATGAACTTTAATCAGAACTTTCTGATTATTTTGTGTGGTACAATATGTTGATTAACTCTCAGCCGTCTAGTGTCAACATAATATACATGTACCCGTGCGACCAGTGCAGACTTAAATCAGTCGGCATATCCTTGACATCTGCTCATGATTTGCACTATTTGATATTAAGTCAGTACATATTTTGAAATTTTCCTTATAAATGAGTAATGGTTTTTGTCCAGATTTGAAGATGGGCAGGTCCATTTAAAATATTTTGCAGAGTTAAAGGTGTAATCTGCGACTCACAAACCCTTATCTGTAAAATGTATTGTTCTGTTTAGCTAAATATCTTACCTCGACCCTCATTTCATATACTGAACGTCAGGGGAAGTAACTAAGATCACAACATCGAGTAGCAGACACACCGGAAGTCGCAAATTGCCACTTTAAAATTTATTGTCGTCTGCTACCTGTGTAACATGTTACTTTTTTTAGCATTTTAAAAATAATTGTAACTAAGATTTTAAGTTATTTGTTTAAACTACTGAAATGTTCTTAATAACCCATAACTCAGCATAATTATGCTCATTTGATAAGAATTTATTGTAAACTTCAATTATTATTTTAAACATGACTGCTTTAAATCAAGTTAACTAAGTGGCATACATGTAATTATACTGTGCTCCTCTTAGTTCACGGCACTTAACACTTTGAAGCAAGAAAGAAAACAACACATGAAACTTAGGGTACAAAATTTGTCATAAGCTGTAACATATATTTTTTGCTGTATGACACAAGGAAACAACATATTTAGTGTCAAAATCAGTTTAAATGAGCCAGACGTATATCATATGTCGGCCATTTTGAAAACAGTATGTCATCATTTAAATCGCAGTAATGGTGTTTTATTTCAGTTTTTTTATGTTTCAGTCAAATTTCTACATGTTATTTTGCATAATTTTTATTATTAAAAGTATCTTTACATTATACCTCAAAATTTATTTTTTCAACGAACAAGAACATTTAGAAAATGATGATTGTTTCAGACGTATGCACAAATTTATCTATTTGACTATTGTTGCTTTTTGCAAAAGTTTGTTAAATGTTGTTCTGTTTTTACGTAAAAAATTTATAGATTTAAAATATTTTGCACAAACACTTTGTTTGTTCAAGTGTTTGAATAAAAAATGTCAATTTTGACCAATTTTAACACTGGTCACATGAAAATATGCCATTTAACCGTGAAATAAGTGATGACGCGGAACCAGTGATGTTGAGAATAAATCAAAATCTAGTTTAAAGTTAAAATTATTACTTATTTCTTTGAATAAACCTTTCAAATATATTTGTACTTATTGAATTGTTCAATAAAATTAAATACTTTATTCCTTCCTGGATGCTGGTCTGTCTCCAAAATAATAATGTCATTTTTATAAGACACAATCAACCAATGCTCAATCAGGCAACTTCTAAACACAAACCTTTCACAAATGTTACACAACCATCCACATTTCGAAATTATCCACCATCAGAGCTTTGGGCACCAATCTAGCATTCATTGTTCAAGGGTTTACTGAAAGGTCACTAGGATTAACATAACAACAATCAAATCGCGTAATGTGTACATTTCCAGTAAATATACTGTAAATTTACTATAAACAAATCTTTTAAAAATTTAGCTAAAGTTACAAAAATTTTTTAATGATATTTATTTCTTTTTAAGTCATATGGCAACATTCAAGATAAATTGGTAAATGACAAAATGCCGTAATATGCATTGTTTGAAGAGTAGGTATTTAAATAAACCACCGAACTGTCTTAAAATACATGTAGCTTGCAAGTCAAACTACAATAAATAAAGCTATGGAAATTTCCTCGTCCAAGCAAAAGTCTAGCCCATTATACAAATTTGAAATTGCAGTAAATATAACGACATAATTTTTGACTTCACAGGGATTTCTAACCCTCTTTTATGAACATCAACATGACTCATTACCTTTAGTGAGAACTACCTGTAACATATAAGGGCAAGTGTTACCAAACAATACACCGTGTCCATCTCTCTCCACACTGAACCAACTTCCAATCCTTCAAATCTGCCGGCACAGAGGTGTAGAAAGCTGCCCCAAACACGACTGCTTCTTGCGAGTATATCAGCACCGGGCCTCTCGAAGAATCGATACCAGTCTTGATCAACTTTCACAGTGTCTGCCAAGTCCTTCATTGCTCCAGTAGTCACAGCTCTTAAGCCACATGGCATCTCCCCTGCTTTATTTGTCCCTATGTGTAATGATATATAATGTTATATTGCATTCGGCACTTGCAATCTACGAAAAAAGGAGGTCAACATATGCACAAACAGCCCTTACTGCGTTAGTAATGCAGTATAAATACGGTGATAAAATATTGAACTTCTAAATATAACATGGATCTTGATTATTTTTACCTTCCTTTAAATCTTAGTACATTTTTCTCAATATTTATTTTCTTGAGATATTTTGGCTCATCTGGAGGCGTGCAGCTTTAAAACCTATTTTCACTTATTGTAATATTCAATGAAATATAATACTCTATTTCTTCTTGGATGCTGGTCTGTCTCCAGAATGACAATGTCACTTACATAATACAAAATTAAGAAATGGTAAATCATGCAACTTACCAACACAAACCGTCTACCAATGTTACACAAGCATTCACATTCTGACATTATCCACCATTACAACTTGAGCCACCAATCTAGCAATAAAACTTCCATTGACTAAGGGTTTTCTGTAAGGTTACTGAAGTTAAGAGCATTTTTAGAGTGGGGGAGACTTTAAAATGACACAAAGTTTGTGTAGTTCAACTTGTGTCATGCTTTCACACATGCTTTCTATTCCATGAGCAGGGAGTTCCCCAGGATTTTATTTAAAGTGCTATACATATGTAATATGTGTGGGGGTGAGAGGGGAATGCGCCACCTCCTGCATGTCGAAAAAAAAAATTCATTTGAAGGTTCAATGCTGTTACCAGGCTGCTATTAATAAAAACAAAAAAAATTATCTTTTCACGGTATAAATAATTATTTGTATCATTTCTTCATCAGTTAGTAGTTTTGTTTATTTGAAATTCCTCAAGGTAGTCTTACTGTAAATTTCTTTACAACCAAAAAAATTCTACCATCGGCCAATACTGTAGCAAATTGGTTTTTTAAATA